ATATTTCCCATACGTAATCCTTTGTATAGACGTTGAGGCGGCCGAACACTAAGATGGAATAAGCCCGCTAATATACCCAACGTCCCTGCTGCAATATGATGAGAGGCTATTTCTCCCGGAACAAAAGTGTCAAAACCCTCCACGCCCCACGCCGGATTTACGGGTTGGACTTTTCCGGTTAGTCCATAAGGGTCGGATACCCATATTCCAGGACCATATAATCCTGTTACATGAAATGCGCCAAAACCAAAGCAAGCCACTCCTGAAAGAAATAAATGAATTCCAAAAATCTTGGGCAAATCCAAAGAAGGTTTTCCTGTACGTTCATCACAAAAAATTTCTAGATCCAAATATACCCAATGCCAAATAGCTGCCAAGAAGCACAAGCCAGAAAACACGATATGTGCTGCGGCTACCCCTTCGTAACTCCAAAGACCCGGATTCGTTATAGTCCCTCCTGTAATATTCCAACCGCCCCATGAATTGGTTATTCCTAAACGAGTCATGAAAGGTATAACGAACATACCTTGTCTCCACATTGGATCAAGAACAGGGTCGGAGGGATCAAAAACAGCTAATTCATATAAAGCCATCGAGCCGGCCCAACCGGCAACCAGAGCAGTATGCATTATATGAACCAAAAGCAAACGACCGGGATCATTCAATACAACAGTATGAACACGATACCAAGGCAAACCCATGGAAATACCCCTTTATCAACGAAAAATAGACACTATGTAACTTTATTGCATTAGAAAAAACTATGTTACAGACCCCCCCCTTTTTTAGGTAATTATTTCGGAGAAAGGATTAATATTTGTTCGATTTTGTTAGTAATAATGGAACAATTCGATTCATAGGAAAAAAGGGAAGCGGATCTATTCTATATCCGATAAGTACCAATACGCAATGGGGGTTAATTCTATTTTATATGAACCAAGATAGCTATTGTTGTTCATCATTCAGAAGCCCGTTCGTAAAAAATTTCCTTTATTTTTATTCATTCTCTCTTACTTTACTTTTATTTTATATTTTATTTTAGCTTATTATTAAAAAATGAAACCCCAGTCTTACGTTTCCACATCAAAGTGAAATAGAGAACTTCATTCTCTTTTTTTTTTAATTTCATGCCTATTGGCGTTCCAAAAGTACCTTTTCGAAGTCCTGGAGAAGGAGATACATCTTGGGTTGACATATAGTGCGACTTGTCAGATATATTGGGCTATATGGGATTTCCCCATTTTCTCCCTCGATCGAGATATCCTATGTTTCGCCCAAAAAGATTGATTGAATTATCAAAAATTTGTAACGCGAAGCGCAAAAAATAAAGTGGAATTAAATGCAGGGAGTATTTAGATTGATATTAGATTATCAAAATTTTTTATGGTTTACGTGATCGGACTAATAAAATTAAGTATCCAGGCTCCGTTTAGCAAAAACCCAATTGATATATAATATATATAATATTTTTATAATTACTACTTAATATGATAAGCAAAATTCTGATAAAAAATACAAAAAATTGAAACAGGGTGATCTAAAACTGTTGATCAAATCAAATAATATAATTAAAAATTTGTTGACTATTTGACAGAAGACATGTGAAAGAAAAGAATTGAAAAAAAAAATAAGTAGTAGTAAAAAAAAGACGTGGTATTAGGTTCATTTGTCCTATATGTGCAAATAAAAATCGGGCAAATTTTTCCTTTTACTCGGGGTAGAGCATAAACCTAAAAAACGGAATAAAAAAGGACGAAGCCCGTTCAGGAACAAGAAAAAACCATCGCCATTTCAACTGAATCTCGATGAAAAAAAATATCAATGAATCAAGTTAGTCTGACAGGCCTAATCAATCGTTTTATTTTTTATTATAGGATTATAATATCTAATAAAAGTTAAAAGTGACCAAAACTTTTTTTTTCTTTTACTTTTAAAAAGGGAGCAAGCCCTTCCCTTATTAAGTTAGAAAGAAAAGCCTTCTGGGGGGTTGGAATCGACACATTGATTTTTTAACAATTTTTGTTGAACCGTATGCATCAAAAGGTGCCTGTACGGCTCCTAAGGAATAAAATTTTATCCTAATCAACCGACTTTATCGAGAAAGATTATTTTTTTTAGGCCAAGAGGTTGATACCGAAATCTCGAATCAACTTATTAGTCTTATGATATATCTCAGTATAGAAAAGGATACCAAAGATCTTTATTTGTTTATAAACTCTCCGGGTGGATGGGTAATATCTGGAATGGCTATTTATGATACTATGCAATTTGTGCGACCCGATGTACAGACAATATGCATGGGGTTGGCCGCTTCAATAGCATCCTTTATACTAGTCGGAGGAGCAATTACCAAACGTATAGCATTCCCTCACGCTTGGCGCCAATGAGTTTTTTTTCGAGAAAAAATACTATGCCTTCGCCATCGGAAATATGAATTAGTTAAGTAATAATAGCATGGCACTTCGAATTCGATATGAAATTTTTTAGATTAAAAAAAATTAGATTATATATTGAAAGAGTAGTATGAGATAAGTAAGGGGTATTTCAAATGATATCTTACCTATTATTCGGGCACATCTCAGCGTCACAAACTTTGTTTTCACACCGGAAGCTTATTTACAAAATTTATATATAAAAAAGACACTTTGGGATTGCTGAATCATAGACGGATCAAAAAAATGATATATAAAGCAACAGAACCATCATAGTATTTTTTTTTCCGACAAAAAAGAAGGATGGTAATTGGATACCCGTATAACCATTGAAGACTGTTGAAGTGACTAATTCCTGGAAATTTAGGGGCGTTGAGAACAAAGAAATTTTTAGAGTTTCCTTTTTTATTTTTATCTAGCATGAACCCACTTGATAGTAAAAAAATATCTTTTGCAAGAAGGTTGGCTAGGGATTTCTTGTAAAAACATTAGCCCCGCTTAGATCATAATGACATCAAATTTTCCATATATTGATTATTTTCATTATGTACCTAAAGGAGGAGCCGTATGAGATAAAAATCTCACATATGGTTCTGAAACGGAGAATTCGTTAAAGCGAATGACGACCGTAACGGATGTCGGCTCAATCTGAAGGAAATTATGCGGAAGCATTACAGAATTATTATGAAGCTATGCGACTAGAAATTGACCCCTATGATCGAAGTTATATACTCTATAATATAGGCCTTATCCACACAAGTAATGGGGAACATACCAAAGCTTTAGAATATTATTTTCGGGCATTAGAACGAAACCCCTTTTTACCACAAGCTTTTAATAATATGGCTGTGATCTGTCATTACGTGCGACTATCTCCACTATAGAAAAAAAGAACGAACAGCTAGTCAATGAAATACTAGAAACAAAAAAAAGGCTTTCTACATAAGCATCGTCCAAAACGATTTTTTATCAGCTGTAGCAAATAAATAAACTTCATAGATCGAAATATGAAGTGAAGACTAGATATGCCTAAATACTTTCTCCCCTATGGATAAAAAAAGATTTAATTGATAGAGTAAGCACCGTAAAGATCAATTGGAAAGGTTTTGGACCGATACAATAAGAGCTGTTTATTTATATCATAATATGAGATAAATCTTAGGAATCTACTTATGTAATAGAGTGGATCCCCGAAGGTATTGAGCAGCGGTGTAGAATCAGATCCTAAAGACAGTAAGTCTTTTTATTTTTTATGAAGTATGAAAAAAAGTCTTTTTCAAAGATTCTATATAAATTTTTATATGAAAGCGGGATAGTTACCTTTCAGAAAATTCTAATATCTAATAACAGTGGACATGCCTTTTTCTGAAGGTAGGAAAAAAGATAAAATTTAGTATATTAATTAATATATTAATTAAAAATATATTAATGAAATCAAAATGAAAGTTTGAAACTCATATAATTACTCTCTTTTGTTTAATCCAAGAAAAACCGAAGATCTATAAGAAATCTCATTCAATTAGACATTCAATTAGATATAAAGTTAAAGTGGGTTAAAGTTAAAAAACCGGTACACCACCAAAACAAAAGAGTTGGTTGTCGAGCCGTATGAGGTAGAAAACTCTCAAGTACGGTTCTCAGGGAGGGAATTGAACTGCCTATTCCGACCGTGGAGAACAGGCCATTCAACAAGGAGATTCTGAAATGGCGGAGGCTTGGTTCGCTCAAGCCGCTGAGTATTGGAAACAGGCTATAACGCTTACTCCTGATAATTATATTGAAGCACAGAATTGGTTGACGATCACGAGGCGCTTCGAATAAGAATAAAAATTTTTCCTTATGTTTATTTTTTTATTCTATATATATCTTTATTTGTTTTTACAATTAATCTAATCGTTCTTTAAGTTTCGTGGCCTCCTCAAGCAAAGAAAACGGATCCTTTTTTCTATCAGAAGAACCAATCAAATAAAAAAAATTTTATTATATCATTTTCTCAAATCGTTCTATTTTATCTGGTATTCTTTAAGGGTAAGTAGTACATGAATATGAGAATGTCTATATATCTAGTTTTTTCTATTTTTTTCTTTTCTACTATTAAAACCAATAAAAGAGTAAAACCAATAAAAGAGATTTGAAAATGACTAAATATCAATACTATAATATTTCTTAGTAATGACTACTAAGTGTTTATTGAAATAGAATAATATCCTCTATTTAAAGCATAAAAAATAGGCTAGATTTCGGAATTTATAATTGAAATATGAATACACTAGATTAGGTTATAAAAAAAACTCTTTGTGTATCAATGTAAAGGGCGCGAAAACTTTTTTTAATAAAAAAAGGGTCCCTTGAGCACCCTATGGATATGTCATAATAGATCCGAACACTTGCCCCAGATCGACTTCCAGATCATAATTGCTCTAGTGAATAACTAAAGAAAATATTGATGAATAGATGGGAGATAGAAGAGAAAGAAAAAATTCTAAGCATCTATCATCGGTTCACTAATTACTTGAGTGACTGTTGGCGGGTTTTTTTGTATGTGTTGTCCGGAAAGAGGAGGACTCA